GCTTTCTCTTTTACATTGTTTCTGTGTTCCTTATTTAATAAGACTGTTGGTTACATCTACAGATGTCCTTAAAAGCCACATGGAAATCAGCTATTTATAAGCTTGCTAAATATTTTGTGTATATAGGCATGTGTATAGACATGTGTGCATGTATATGTACACATATCCATATAAAAATGTGTAAGTAGAGTTACCCTACACATGGAATTATTCTAATAGGAATTAAATGTGATCAAAATTGATTGTATGTAAATCTCAAAGATCTTAGGGGAGGGAGAAATAGGAGAGATGATGGAGGGTATGTCCTAAGATACCAGTGGAGGTAGGAAGAAAATGAGCTAGAGGAGCAAGAAGGTACAGGAGAGGCACCTGAAAAGGGATCAGTCTAAAGACCGATGCCACAGATGTAATAGAATATCTCAATTAAACACATTTTCTGATCAAAAGATAAATCAAAAGAAAGAAGATAGGCACTGTACTTGAGAAGGAAACACACACTGGAGGATGGATGTTGCTCACAGGGTCAGTAGTAAAGGAGCATTGTAAGAAAACAAGACAGAGTAGGGGACTCTATGCATGAGAGGGAGTAGAGATGCAGCACATGAAGTTGAGTTTGAGACTCTGACTAGGGAAAAAAGACATTACAAAAGAAAGACTCAAGTGAAGTAATCAAAGCTGGGGACAAGTGGATAGTTCATACTCCGTTGGAGGTGCACAAGCAGACCGGAAACTCACTGAGTTGCAGGTGTTATATATGGCAGGATGAGGAGGGTGGGTTAGCTTGTGCAATAGGGGTCTTAGAGAAGTCCAATGCTGCAGTCATCATGGATGTGGAAGCTGAAAATGATACTACCCTCACTATCAATATCTACACAAGGACCAGAGAAACGCTTTGGCATTCCCTTGTGTCTAGAATCATAGTCATCCATGGCATGACTTTGCTCAAGTCAAAAATTCAATTCAACCACATTCCAAAGTAGCATGTCCACAGGCTCACAGGGAAAATGAACAGGGAAGCAACCATATGCAGAGAAATAAGAAATGAGGGACAGGCACTACACAGAGATGTCCCACAGGAGACAGAAGAGAGAAATAGGAATCTACTACTTGGGGACTACGCCTACAAAACCACACAAAGAATTGGGAAATTCCAGTCACATCACAGATGTTGCACCACATCCCCAGGCACTGAATACTCAGCAGAGAGATCACAACTCCTTCTAGATTCTTCATTGCTGGCATGTCCCAGCCAGCAGGATCTTCAGCAGAGACCCTAGAAGGGGGAATGGCGAATGAAAGGGACAAGAGACACAAAGAGTTGATAGCAAGACAGTATTCTGATCAAGCCAAAAATTTTATTTTGCTCAGGCAGGTTTTATAGTAAGCTACCAGGGAGCTTTCTTTGGGAAAAGATCAGGGGACTCTTAAGTTGCCAAGCAACCCAAACAACAACCCAACTACAAAAACATTGTTACTAATGGTCACTTTAGCAGAAAGATAAGGAAGTGTAAAGTTATTTTCTAATAACTCAGGACTTGTCCAGGCATGTCAAAAGTTTCTGGTTAGTGGCTCAATTCTGGAGAATAGAACCTTAACTCAGGCAGGCAATATGGCATGGCTCTTGCAATGGTCCTAAGCATCTCCTGCCTTTATTTTATTTTATGAGGAAGTGTGCCCACCTGAGGTGGCGGACCTTAACCAGCTGGAGCTGACTCCTCCTAGAGCTGCTGTGGGCTTGAGAAAAGGGTACCTTTTGGGGAGGAGAGGGCTTAGGCATTTTGGTGCCTCTAGATACCAACCTCAATGCAAGTCAGGTTTGTCTCTCAGGGAATCCGAACCAAGGGCTATTCAATCAGCCTTCCCCTGCAGTGCTTGGCCTTGCACACAGTGGTGTCCATACCAGCTGATGCCAATAAGCATAGGTTCGGACTTTATGCTGCTCCTAAAGGAGAAGGGGACTGAGAAATATCATAGGGACCACATCCTCGATCCAGCATTTTGAGCCGATGGTAATGAACCTGTATAGGTTTTGATGCCAGGGAATCTGTTTTTGTTTTTTTTTTGTTTGTTTTTCTGTTTGTTTGTTTTTTGTTTTTGTTTTTGTTTTTGATGAATTGGATTAGCCTGCCAATTATAAAGGGACCCAAAGTTACAAATAACAAAAGGCTGACTAATGGTCCTGTGAGAGGCATTAAAAGGGAGATCTCCACCAATCATCTGCTGCGACAGAGAACTGTTGCTTATGTAGATCTAGGCTGTTTATGTAGCTTATTTATCTGAGTTTCTACCATTCCAGACTCATTAATAAAATAACAACATTCTTCCCTCAGAAAAAGGCATGTCCCACCCTTTTCTGCTGTCAGCAGGCCCAAGGCCCGTCGATTTTGTAGGGCAACCTGTGCAAGGGAGGTTAGCTGCCTCTGGAGGGAGGGGGGGGGGGGGGGGGGGGGGGGGGGGGGGGGATGAAGGATGCAAGAGGGAAGGGAAACACTGGAAAAGCAAAACTCAAACTTGGAGCGGCCTGGGTCAAGAAACAAGGGTACTTAGGGATGGAGTGGAAGTCATGGGAATTATCAGTGGTGGTGCAATTAGGCTCGAGGCAGGGGTACTGCTATCAGGGGAGGATGTTCCAGGGCTACACTAGGAAGCATGATGAGAGATTCCCAATGCCAGTAACAGACCTTCTCAGAGGAGGGAAAGCCAAGAAAATGGACAGGAGGGGGATGATAGTTGTGCCATTAAATTTTTTTCTTGTATAAGGATATTATGATGGACCATAGATTGTACTTGTACATAAGAGTTTCAAATGTAGAGTCTGGAGCTAGGCCATGGGGCTGTTCGGACCATATACATGGCTCCTTCTACTGGATTAGTCCATCGTGAGTCCCACGGGTCCGAAACCACTAGGGAATATCCTATAGATGTCTTATAAAATTTAGAGCCATTCCATTCTCTCCCAATTACCTGTCCCTTAGCAGGAGGAATGGCATCATGAATTTTGCAGTAAGAATAGGGGCATCCTACGCTTTTCTCCTTCAAGTAAGTTTTCCAATTGTGGACAGTCTGATCGTACAAAAAACAGATAGCTAATTAGACTCCCAGCAGTGGGAATTGGGGGTGGGCTGGGGGGAAGGGGAGGGGGGCAGGAAGGGGGAGAACAAGGGAATCTGTGGCTGTTATGTAGAACTGAATAGTATTTTAAAATAAAAGAAAAAAATAAAAAAATAAAAAATAAATTAAAAAAAAAAACAGATAGCAGGGACCACCTTGCCAGGGGAATTATGGAAATCAGTAAAGTTGAGTAAAATGGGATTCTGACATCCTTGCAAGGGGCAGTCAGAGGCAGCCAACAGGTGGCCAAAGGTCTGCTTTTTGGCATTATTAGTATAATTTTTGGTCAAATAAAAGTGACATGCAAATGGGGATGTGTTGACTGGTCTCTGGTCCTGATAAGAAGGTACAGGCAACAGCAAGATCCAGAATATTCAGGGAAATTTTCCCAGTTTTTTCTTCATCAGCAGCTGTAAAGAAGGAGAGGGAAAGGGAAACAACTTCAGGTGCTATCCTTTTCCCTGGGTGATTGGTTAGAGTTGACTTGTTTAACTAATCTCTCGGGAAGCCAACGAGGGCCTCCCTCTCTTTGGTCATAGATGCATGCTGACCCTCGACCTTTTCAGGAACAAAGGTCTGGTAAAAATCATTTAAACACTCACCAACCCATCTCCAGTGCTTTTCATCTATGGTCCCTTCTTGGGGTAACCAAGGACAGACATCTCCAACAGAGTCAAGAAATTTTTTAAGTCTTTCTTTTTGACCCTAGTTCCTCGTGTCCTGAGAGACTGTTTCAGTCCCGAAATAAATGAACCCTGTTTACTAAATGCTTGTCCCGTGGTAAACTTACCTTGCGTCATCATGTTGCAATTCCTCCAGATCTGTCTCACGGCCGGGCGTTTCTATGGCTATCACCAACTGGACCTTCGTTGCGGAGACGTTTTCCATGGTGGTCCAACTGTTAGGCAGGCCTGCTATGGTGTGTGATGACGTTCAGTGCTCCTCCATATCCTTGAGCCTCACGCTGGGCGCCAGTTGTCCTGGCCAGCGAGATCTTCAGCAGAGACCCTAGAAGGGGGGATGGTGAATAAAAGGGACAAGAGACACAAAGAATTGACAGCAAGACAGTATTCTGATCAAGCAAAAATTTTTATTTTTCTTAGGCAGGTTTTATAGTAAGCAGACCAGGAAGCTTTCTTTGGGAAAAAATCAGGGAACTCTTGAGTTGCCAAGCAACCCAACCACAAAACATTGTTACTATTGTTCAGTATAGCAGAAAGACAAGGAAATGTTATTTTCTAATAACTCAGGACTTGTCCAGGCATGTCAAAAGTTTCTGGCTAGTGGCTCAGTGCTGGAGAACAGAAACTTAACTCAGGCAGGCAATATGGCAAGGCTTACCACTGTCCCTGGCACCAGCATTTAGATGAGATCTGAGAAGGGGTAGCTAGGCTCTCAGCTTAGGGCTCCTGAAGGCCCCATGGGCTCTCTTCTGCTCTTCCAAGCATGCAGCAATAGAGCGCCAAGGCCCAACAGGATGATGATAGCCATGATAAGCCGGATAAAATTCTCTAAACTGTTATGTAACTGTTCACGAGATTCTGTGGAGAAAAAAAGGCAAACTTTAAAGTGTTTATATCAACAAATATCAATTTTTGGCTGTTTTTTATAAGACCACGACATTTTGGTCTCAGAATCAAATACATCTCTACATGAAATATAGAAAGACCCCTTCTGACAAATACACAGAAATGTAAGGAAAGCGAAGGAGGCTTTTTGGTTGGATGAGCTATGGCCAAATAGATATCAAAATTCAACTACTGCACTTTCTACAATGTCAGACTCATACGAGGATCATTTTTCTTTGAAACAAAGCACAAAAAGAGATGCATGCTGAAGCTGTACCTAAATCATTACAGACTATACAGATATATGTTTTTTCTCCTGTGTGGAATTAGTGTATACATATATGTGTGTCTGTCTGTCTTTGTATGTATGTGTCTGTGTGTGTCCGTGTCTGTGTGTGTCTGTGCTTGTGTTGTGTGTGTGTGTGTGTGTGTGTGTGTGTGTATTACACATATTCATCAGATAAAGAAGAAAGAGACTGGGTAGGAACAGAAGACTGATGGGAGTGAGAACAGAGGCAAAAGTGTAACAGAGGTGAATATTGTCAGAGTACAGGATGTACCTGAAGAACATGTCATTGTAAACTCATCACATTGTGCAATGGACAGAAAATTACAAAAATGTTTGGTGTGAATTTTCTGTGGAATGGACGGATATAAAATATCAGGTAGAAAGAAGAAAGATAATAAGAAGACTGGGTGAAAGGTGATCTTGGGGTGACAGAGATGATGTAACAAAGAAGGAACAAGACTTGAAAGGTGTTTTCAGGACACAAATGAGAGTTTGATATTGAGCCATGTGAGAACTGAGGGCAAAAGAGGACCCTGAAGAATTCTGGTTCAAAGGGGACAGATGCACTCTCTGTTGATACAAGGACTTATGTGAGGAGAATGCAAGGATGCTTTCCAATCTGGGGCTTTGTTGAGATGTGTGATAAATGTGTGCAAAGATAAATTTCAAATATCCCATTGGATATATAGTTCTGAACATCATAGAGGATTTCTCAGCTGCAGCAGAAAAATTAAAATCCATCATCAAATGTTGCATAAAAGAGGATGTCTAAGTATGAGCAGACCCCACCAACACTCCTGTATGCAACCTGCTCACATAAAAGCTCATCATGGGCCATCCCATTTTCTACCCTACACGGGATTTCTTCCTCCTGCCTCCTCATGTACATCTTCCCATCTTTAACCCATGCACACTTGATGTTTTCTATACCAAGTTTTCTATCTCAACTATGTTCCCAACTGGAACTTCCACGGCCCTGTGCCCTTTGTTCCCCACACCTGAAACATGTCCCAACTCTTAAAACCCCAAGATATCCCTCAGGACCAGAAGTTCTAAGATATAAAGAAATAAGTCCCCTCCATCAGGAAATCTGGCACTGCTGTTTCTGAGTTCTCTTCTGTTAATGTTTCCTGCATTCTCCACTGGACTGATGGCTGTTCAGAGGGGGCACTATGATGACAAAGGCTGGTGGGACAGATA